AAAAAAAAAAAAAGAAGAGAAAAATAATCGTGGCAGGAAAGCTTGGAGCCAAACTGCAAAGTTACAAATTGGACTCTTCTGCAAGTTTTATGATCTGAATAGACGTCTGCAGTACAGTTCCTTCATCTATGACGTGTGCAGCTTATGTTTCTTTCTTTTTTAAAAAGTTTATGTGTTTGGTACAAGGTATTGCTGTGCAGTTCAGACTCACAGTGATCTCATTTCAGCCTCCCCAGTGCTGGGATTACACTTGTGTGCCACCACGCCTGGTCCCAGTGGCTGGCACAGCATGTAATACTGGGGATTGAACCTGGGTCCTTGCACTTGCCTAGGCAGGCACTTAGACCACTGAGCTATCTCTGCAGCCCAGGGCTTATGTTTCTAAGTATGCCAGTGTTTAACAGCACTTGAAGCGAGGCAACTTGGGTTTCAATTTTTGTCTCTTCTTCTTTCTAGCTGTATGACTGTGAGCAAGTTACTTCTGTATGTCAGGGTCCCCATCTACAAAATGAGGATCATATGCCCAGCCTGAGTTTGGTTTAGATTAAATAAGTAACTATCCAGAAAGCTCTTAGGACAGCTCCTGGTATCAGTTAATGGCATGAAAATGTTAACTGTAACTTTTCCAGATCTTGAAGTTTTGACATGAATCCACTCTGATATACAGTGACCAGGTATCCACTATAAAACCTGGAACACAGGTTACTAAAGAGAGCTCATGAAGAACTGTGATTAAAATCAAACACTTAGTTCTCAGATCTACCATGGTCATAACTGTGTCACAAAATGACTTAAACTTGGATGATACCTTTCCCAGTGGATATGTTGCACAGATGTTTCCACCTGAAACTAGCTTAGAAAGATAGTCATAGACCCTTCATTAAGAAGAAAAAATGTTACAGTCCATGCTTGTCTTCTGCTGTGAGTGACATGCGCTTTGGGAGGCCGACGCAGAAGAACTCATAAATTCAAAACCAACCTGAGTGACTCAGTGAGACTTCATCTCAAAATTCAAAATGGGGGGCCGGGGGGATGGCTCAGTGGAATAAGCGCTTCCCTGGCAAGCGCGAGGGCCTGAGTTCAATCCCCAGTTCCACACACACAAAAAAATTCAAAATGGACTAGAGATGTAGCTCAGTATGAAGGCCCTGGGTTTAATCCCCAGTACTGAGAAAAAGGAAAGCATTAGAATCTACTTCATTCTGCAAGGGGGCGAACAGAAAAGAAGGAAGGGGGGAAAGACATGTACATATACACACGATAGTTAGGGTAATTGTACTACTAATTTCTATTAGTTCATTGCAAGGAACAGTGCTTATGTTGTTTGGCCAATTTAGCATACCTATGTCTGAGCAACTACTTTGAAGATAACTATATACAACATAATAACTGTTGTTAATTTCCTGTCATCTTGTTCTGAAATTCTGTATCGTGTTTATTATTGTTGTTGTCTCTTTAAAAAAGATCTGCTTACTGTCTCCTGGAACTTATGACTGTTGACTAGATTGATGCCATTCTTATTGCTTTATTATTTTTCTGGTTTTTTGATGCTGATAACATCTGGGCACTGTGTGGGTTGTGCTTACTGTACAAATACATGGTGAGGCAGAGAATAATACAGTTGTGCAACAGCTTACTTGTGCCTGAGTTTTGGAAGAGGGACTATCTCAGCCCAACATTTCTTAAGCTAGCACAGCTGCTCACCTGTAGGAACCACTGAAAGCAGTTGTCACCCAGGAGCGCTAAGCTCACTGTTCAGAAGCCAGGGTCTGTTTGCTTGGGATAGCTGATAGCATATTGTTTATTTTCCCTTAAAAATTGAGGAATTATATAGAAAACTCAGTCCTTGTGTTTTGTGTCCGATGATGTGTTTTGTGTTTATTGGTGTTCCTGCTCCTGTCCCCTCTTTGGATATATAGTACTCTTCCTCTGACACTTAGTATTTTATATACACTGTGGACATAGGCTTGATCTAGGGACCTTAAAGTTCCCCATTTGTTGAAAAGAAAATCCTATCATGAGCTAGATCTCAATTCAAGTCTGTACCTTGAGCTCAGACTGTTTCTTCTCGTTCATTAGATTTGTCTGCCTCTGCTCATTCCAAGGTGGTGATCTTCACAGTCAACTCTCTGGGCCATTCGGAGTCCTACCTTGATGTGGTGCAGAGCAACGTGGATATGTTCCGGGCCCTAGTTCCGGCTCTGGCGCATTACAGTCAACACAGCGTCCTGATTGTTGCATCTCAGCCAGGTGAAGGCTGTATTTTAAATTAATGTGATGTTCCACTGCACAATAGCATGGCCACTGCTGGTAAAACTGTAAATCTTTTTTTTTTTCTTTTGCGGAACCGGGGATTGAACTGAGGCCCTTGCACTTGCCAGAGAAGCGCTTATTCCACTGAGCCATCTCCCCGGCCCAAAACTGTAAATCTTTAGCATGTAGGTAACAGAATATTCAGTAAAACTACCCTCATTCTCAACAGGATAGTATTTCCATATCCTGTGAGCCACTTCATTTGACTGTTAATAACTAGAAGATTCATCTTACAGTTTCTTTGAAATGTGGTATTATGCTCTAGTTCTTAGCAGTACCTTCTGCAGTGAGGAAATGGTTAAATACCCAAAAGAAAAATTCCGTCACTTCCATGAAAGATACTTGAACAACTGTGAACTACTCTAAAATGTTAATGAATAGGATAGGCTGCATTTCTAGCGTTTCATAAATTTGAAACTTCTACTTTGAAAATGAATTGTTTTTAAAGAGTTAGGTAGTATTGAGTATTCACTCAAATAGGTGAACAGATTTTTAAAAAAACTGTTCCCAGGATCAGGTTAGGGTATGCATTTAACTTGTTTTTCCAGTGTTGGCTCTCCTTAACTCTGGCACCCTTTTGGCATGAAAGAAAAAAATTCATTTTTACTCAAAAGGCTGTACTTCAATAGTAGTGATATATGAATGAATATTTTTGTTGACTTTTGCTGCACTGGAGATCACCGAGCTACATGCCAGCCCTTTTTGTTTTGGATTTTGAGACACAGTCTCGCTAAATTGCGCAGGCTGGCCTCAAACTTGGGACCCTTCTGCATCACTTCTCAAGTAGATGGGCTCGCAGATGTGCGCCTGTGTGCCTGACAGTATTTCAGTTTAAAAACAGAAATTCAGCTTAATGTAGTTACAAAGTAGTAGAATTCATCTGTGAAGTGTAATTATGATTTTGTAGTTTTTTGTACCCGGTTTTTACCATTGTATTCTAGAAAATTACATTTTTTTTCTCTTAACAATTTATATTTATGAACAACAAAATTTGTTGAAGCTTGGCTAATGTATTTAATATACATTAAAAATATGCCTCAGGGGACAGGGAAATAGCTCAGCAGTATAAGTGCCTGCCTGGCGAGTGCGGGGTTCAAAGTTCGATCCCTGGTAACAGCAAAAAAAATATGCCTCAGTATATTAGGGATCAGGACAAGTATACAAAAGCTCTGCTATACTTAACTTATTAAAATAATAAATAATTCATTTGTGAGCTAGGATAGAAGTGTATTTTTAAAATCTTTATATTTTCACCTTTTATGCAACATTTAGTGGAAATCATGACATACGTGACGTGGAAACTGAGTACATTTCCTGCAAATCAAGTGATTGGAATTGGATGTAACCTGGATTCACAGAGATTACAATATATTATCACAAATGTTTTGAATGCACAAACTTCAGGCAGAGAAGTATGGGTTATTGGAGAACAGGGAGAAGACAGAGGTAAGAAGTACATTTTGCTTAGTGATGCTGGTAACTCACCAGTGGTCATGAGATTAGAAATATCTGGGGACTTCACAGATATGAGCTTAGTTGGCTTTTATTTCACATTTGACCTCTTCTTTAAAAAAAAAAAAAAAAGTATATATATGGCTTATTTATTTGGTACAGGGTCTCACTACACAGGTCAGACTTGTAGTCAGCCTCCTGTCTTAGCCTCCCCAGTGCTGGGATTACAGGCATGCTCCACCACACCTGGTTTTTTGGGGTGGCACAGTGTGCCCAGTGTTCCAGGGCTGGTGTGGCATGTGGTGCTGGGGATCAAACTCAGGTCTTTGTGCTTGCCAGGCAGGCACTTAGACCACCAAGAGATCTCCCCAGCCACATTTGACCTTCTGTGTAGCAGGCTCTGTACTGTATCTGGAGCCTGTCTATGTATTGTTCTCATTATACTACTTTTCTTCCAGTTTAAGGTTAGACAAGATCTTTAGTCAGATTTTATATTTTTAAATTGAATTAGAATCCAGGAACAATTATTTTATTTTTGTATTTTTTAGGGAAGGGTCTACAGGGTGTTCAGGGTCTCACTACTAGATTGGACTTGTTGTGGTCCACCTGTTTACAGCCTCTCAGGAGCTGGGATTACAGGCAGGTGCCACCACGCCCAGCCTGTCATTGTCTCAGCAAGCCCCAGGGGTGGGGCAGGCTGGGGAATTGAACCCCGGGCCCCTGCGCCTGCCTGCAGGTGCTTTAATCCACTGAGCTATTTGACCAGCCCTCCAGGAACAATTTAAAAATTTAATTTTCCAGAAAGAAATATTTAAGTATACCTAGAACATTTATAAAATTTTTCCCATTACTCATCCACCTTTCAGCTTTGCTCACTTTTGCTGAGTTCAACCTTTTCCCTAGATACACGCCTCTTGTTTCTTACTTTTATAAACTGAATTTTCATTTTGTTTATCCTTTCAGCCTTTTTAACCGGGCATTGCCCTCTCTCTAACACAAAAAAGCATTGAGTTTCAGTTCCCTCCATGGAAAATCCCCTTTTCCGATCCCAAAAGAAAACTTTAGCTATTTGCCTTCAGAGTCTCTTTCTTTACTCCTTTAGTGTTTTGTGTGATAAAGCCGGGTTGCTCAGGTCATAAAAGTGCTGCTTTTCATGTTGTCCATTTTTACTCATTTAAACAAGCAGATGAGTATCTTCTGTCTACTCACAACGGCACTGATGCTAGAATGGCAGAAAGCAGGCGCAGAACAGTCTCTGCCCTTATCGTACTCTAAACAAATAAGAACAATATTTATCACATTTTTTAAATTATTTATTTATTTGTGTGTGTGTGTGTGTGTGTGTGTGTGTGTGTGGCCAGCTCAGCCTGCCAGGGGGCGGGGCTGGCTGGCATGTGGTGCTGGGGGATTGAACCGTGGTCCCTGTGCTTTGCTAAGCTTGTTCTAAGTAGGTGCTTTAGACCACTGAGCCATCTCACCAGCCACTATCACATATTTTAGTTACCAGTAAGGTATAGGGTACCATTTGTTAACTGCTAGTATGAATACTATTGCCTCAAGAACATATGACAGGGGTTGAAATCACTAGGAAAAGAAATCTATAAAGGGCATCGGTGAGTTGGACTTCAGAAGATGGAATAGGATTTGAATAGGCAACAGAGGGAGAGATACATCCCAAGACTGGGAAAGCAGATCCAGGCAAAGACACATGATTCAGTAGGCCATCTTCATGATATATAAAAATCTGGACTTGTTGCACAAAGTTTCAGCCATCTAGATAAGCCTGGTTAAAACCATATTTTGGAGTTCTTTTAATACCTGATCAATGAATTGGAAGGTGATTCTCAGAACCATGAGAAAGAAATGTTGAAAGGGTAATTTGGGGAAAATTAATTGTTTCATCATTTGAAATTCATTACTATGACTTTATTTGGCATGGAAGTGCCCGATTAGAGTGTTGTGTAGGAATGACCTCTCTGCCTGGGAGGAGGTGACAATTTGAGAACTAGAGAAGGACCACACATGTTAAAAAAAAAATAGCTCTTGGGCTTGGGAGATAGCTCAGTGGTCTAAGCACCTACATGGCAAATGCAAGGACCTGAGTTCAATCCCCAATACTGCATGCCATGGCAGGCCTGCAACCCTGGGTGCAACATGCTGGACCCAAAATCAGGCGTGGTGGCACATGCCTGTAATCCCAGCACAGGGCAGGCTGAGACAGGAGAATCACAAGGACTCTGAGCTGTGTATTGAGGCCCTGTATCAAATAAATAAAATTACTTTTAAGAAATTAGCTACTGGGGCTGGTGAGATGGCTCAGTGGTCTAAAGCACCTACTTAGAACAAGCTAAGCTAAGCAAAGCACAGGGACCGTGGTTCAATTCCCCAGCACCACATGCCAGCCAGCCCCGCCCCCTGGTGGGCTGAGCTGGCCACACACACACACAAAATAAAAATAAATAAATAAATAAAACATAAAAAAAAAAGAAAGAAATTAGCTACTAATAGGGCCAGGGAGATAGCTCAGTGCAATAAGAGCATGCCTACCAAGAGAAAGGTCCTAAGGTCAATCCCGAGTACTGAAAAAAAAAAAAAAAAAAGTATAAAAATTAGCTAATGACCCAAGCCAAATCACTTTTTCAAAACCATTTTCTTGAAATATATACTTCAGTATGTACGCTTTGTATATATACCTTGTCATTAAACTGTTTATCAGTGATGATATCTGGATTGTATTCAACTTTTTAAAATCTGTGCTTTTCTGCATTTTCTAATTTTGTTATATGCATAGGTAGTATTTATATAATTTTAAGGACTAAAACATAGCAGTATTTTAATCTTTTTTTTTTTTTTTTTTGCGGAACTGGGGATTGAACTCAGGCCCTTGCGCTTGCCAGGCAAGCACTTATTCTACTGAGCTATTTCCTCAGCCCCTAGTATTTTAAATCTGTATAATTCTGCACTAGTTACTTAGAAAGAAGGCCGGGGAGATGGCTCAGTGGAATAAGCACTTCCCTGGCAAGCTCAAGAGCCTGAGTTCAATCCCCAGTTCTGCAAAAAAAAAAGTTACTTAGAAAGTTCTGTGCTAATATATGTGGAGCTGGAGAATAAACCCTTTTAAACCCAACTGTGATTGAACAAAAATACTTTTCAGCACTTTTAGTGCTCCATGACATGAAACACTGGGGTTACAAACAAGAATTTGGAGTACAGGTATGAGAATAATTAATGTCTAGGGCTTCAGACAAGACCCAGCGCCTTGAGTTTACTCTGCTGCCGCTGGGGTTCCAGCCCAGTGGTCTCCTGCTCACTTTGTTGTAAATCTCCCAGCGAGTCTGCTTCACCTCTTTTCTACCCTGTAATGTGAAAGTAGTAATACTAGCTAAAACGTATGCTTGCCCACTGTAATTCAGTCTTCCTAAAACACTCTTCTTTTCAAACTCGTTGGGGGCCCTCCTCCCCATTAAGTTCCTTTGCTTGACACTCAGTGCAAATGCAGCTCTAATCTGCCTTCAGATTAGAGGTATAGCCATGGTACTGTACAGTGGAGGGAACCCAAGAGATCATCTGTTTCCTTTTGTTTTCGGGAGTGAGCACTGGATACAGGTGATAAGAGGGACCTGCCCAGGAGCCTGCAGTGTTCAGGGACAAGGCCTCCTAGACTCCAGGTCTGCTGGCTCCCAGGATTGCTCTCAGCTTCGCTTCAGCCATGGGGCCTCTGTCCACAGCCCTCACCATCCTTCCCTACCACCATCTATGCCCGTCCCTCCAGGCTCAGCCTTCAAATCTAAGTCAAGCCCCCCACACACACCCCTGAAGGTTTCCCTGTCACATCACTACAGTGATCTGCTTACTCCACTGAGCTAAAAGCAGTTGTCATTTGTGTGGCAATTCTGTCTTGGGATCTCAGGTGGGAACTAGAAATAGAGGATGCAGGTGCACATGAATTTGGATGACTTAAACATACTAGTACTCTGTTATTTGATATAATGTGTATGCAGGGTTGTTTGTTTGTTTGTTTTGGGGGGTTTTGTTTGTTTTTTGGTTTTTAGGTCTTCCTGAGAGACAAGTTCTCACTATGCAGTTCAGGCTGGTCTCAAACTCTCAAAGATCCACCTGCCTCAGTCCCCTAGTGCTGGGATTACAGGCATGTGCCACCATGCCCAGGCAAGTTTTACAACATAATAGCGGGGTATAGTACCACACAGCTGTAATCCCAGTACTTGGGAGGCTGAGTTAGGAAGAATTCTGCAAGCTCAAGGACAGCCAGGGCTACACAGCATGATCCTGCCTCAAAAAATAAAAATAAAAACAACCCCCCCAAATTATAATAATAAAACGCGTTGGGATCTCTACACAGTCAAAGTTACCAGTATCACTGAAGCCAAGCATACCTCCCTCCTGTCTGTCTGCCTGCTTGCCGTCTGAAAGTACCTCGAGTCACTTCTCCCCAGTATGTTGCAGCACTGGGCATCCAACCAGGGCCACAAAGGACCCTGGCTAGGGGCTGCTGCTGCATGCCGGGCAGGACCCCACCTCTAGTCTTCAAGTCACTTCTTGTTTTTGCTTTGAGACAGGGCCTTGCTGTATAGTTCAGAGTGGCCTTGAACTTGTGGGGATCCTTCTGCATTAGCTTCCCGAGTGCTGGGCCTACAGGCATGCACCACCACTCCCAGGCTCAAATCATTTTTCTCCTGTCTTCCACTCTGCTTTAAAGACAGTTCCACCCATAGATAGGTTCACTGAGCCAGAAGTGGACTAGAGGCTCCCTCTGCTGATTTCTCGTGTACCCACGGGCTGGTGTATTTTTGCATAAGTGGTACTATCACAGCTATCATTTGATATAATTGGTAATTATTGGAATTCTTTTTATTAAGTGCCAACTATGCATAGTAAATGCTTCACATGCAGGTCCTCTACATCTCATTAAATTTTACAGATACCTTGTAAAGGAGGGGATATTTTTCTGCATTTATAGATGGGACACTTAAGGCTCAGCGAGGCTAAAAGCTGTACCCAAGGTCACGTATATAGGAGGAGCAGCACTGAGAACTGAACCCTGGCCTCACTAAAGCTGTGCTCTTCTTTCTTGCTGTTACTTAGATAATTTTATTACAAGCCTTTAATACAGTGTCTGGCACACACTAAACACTCAGCAAATGGTAGTTTTTACAACAGGATTGTCAAGATGGTGTTGAGTAGAAAATTGGCAAAAGGACCTGTAAAACTATGCTTTAAAAGAAAGCAACAATAGGGGGCCTGCCCTTAGCTCAGTTCTTTAAGTGGCTGCTTCAACAAAGCAGTCAGGCTCAGGTTGCTGTGGTTCGATCCCCACAACTCAAGCCAGCCAAACCTGCCCTGAAGGCATTCGGAGCAAAAAAAATAAAAATAAAAATAAAAAATAAAACAAAAAAGAAAGCAACATTAGAAGCTGGGCCTGATGGTGCATGCCTGTAATCCCAGCACTCGGGAGGCTGAGACAGGATACTAGTCAGTCTGAAACCAGCCTGGGCTACAAAGTGAGCTCAAGGCTAGCCTGAACTGCACAGGGAGACCCTGTCTCAAAAAACAAAAAAACAAAGCAACATTAGGATTTGGAAACAGGTGTACCTAAAAATTATATAAGTAAAATCACTTTTTTCAAGTTGTCAGAAACAAACAATAAGGGTTGGCAACATAGCTCAGCAGGGGCCATGAAGATGGCTCAGTAGAATAAACGCTTGCTTGGCAAGCACAAGGGCCTGAGCTCAATCCCCGGTTCTGAAAAAAAAAAAAAAAAAAAAAAGATAGCTCAGTGGACTAAGCACAGGGAACTGGGCTCAATCCATGGCACCACATACTGTGCTGGCCCCGCCCCTGGGCACACTGAGCTGGCCACTGAGTCCGCACTTGATGGCACATGCCTGTAATCCCAACGCTAAGGAGGCTGAAAACAGGAGAATTACCACAAGTCCGATCTGCACAGTGAGACCTTGCACCAGATACATAAAAGAAAGAAGCAAATAGCTCCAGTCTGGGGAGGAATTCCATGGCCACAAGTCACAGATCTGTGCCCTGCTCCCCTCAGCTTCACCTCCCTCCTCTGCCAGGCATTCTGTGCTGCTGCGCAGTCACACACCATCCGTGGGGAGTCACCTGCCAGAAGGGAAAAATCTTCTGTCACAAGACTAATACAGGGGCCCTTGACTGCAACAGCTCATTAATTGCATCTTGTTCCTAAAAGAATCATTGACAAACTGTAACTAACTCTTCATTTCCTTCTTAGTGCCCACATGGAGTGGACAAGAAGTAATGAATCCCAGCTCTCAGGCACAGCTGTCCAACAGGTAGCATGGTGCAACTTTGCTTGTATCCAACTAAAACTCAGCACTCATAGCTAACGTTACAGCTGTTTACATACCATGTGCTCACCGAGCTCTGGAAAACAGCACTCGCTGGCATGACCAAGGCCAGAAGCATAAGGGGCAGTTTTAGCTCTGATTTCTTATCTGAAGGTAGATCGAGGAGTGCTTTGCGAACTCCTCCAGATAACACATTGACATGTGAAGGGCAGAACATACTCCTTACTTGTAGACAGCATTTCCTTCTCCTGTGTCTAGCCTTCTGAAGATACTATTTTTCCTGATGTAGAAGAGAATTTTTCAGTACCACTAACAATTACAAGTTACTCATCACACATAAGTACAGGATTTAGAAATCGGTGTAGTGTGAGTGAAGTCCATCTCAGATGTTCAGGGGAAAAGCGTAATTCTGCCTCCTTGGATCTTCTGCTGTTGTTCGAGTCCTCCCCGTGGTCTGCGCCCCAGAGGTCACACTTCACATACTGTGTACCTTCAAGTCATTTTGTTGTTTCACCACCATATAACAAGATTTTTCTGAAGTCTGAGTAGGGGTGACTTAGTTTTTAAACAGCTAGCAAATCTGCTTCAGTGTATAACAACTGGAAAGAAGGTTCTCTTTTATTGAGAAGTATGTGATATAGTTCATTCCAATCTGATTAATCTTGCATTTATTAGTTTTTGTTTACCTGTGGGTGCATTGTGGTGCTCAGAATTAAACCTTGGGCCTCAAGTGTGCTAGTTACACACACTGCCTCTAAGCCATATTCCCTATAGATTTTTTTTTTTTTTTTTAGTACTGGGAATTGAACTCTGGACCTTGTGTTTGCCATGCATGTGCTTATACTGCTGAGCTATATCCCCCAGCCCTCCCTATACATTTTACAAGAAAGAAACAGTTTGTTTGGTTTTTTTTAATTTGGTATAGGATTACACACAGCTCAGACTCATAGCAATCCTCCTGCTTCATTGTCCCCAGCCCTGGGATTACAGGCATGCGCCACCATGCCAGGTTTCAGGGCCATAACAACACACCCAGGTTCCAGGGCTGGCATCGCATGCAGTACCAAGGATTGAACCCGGGTCCTTGCGCTTGCCAGGCAGGCACTTAGACCATTGACCTGTCTCCCCTACCTGGAAGAAATTTTTTAAATTAAAAGAAAAATTATGGAAAAAGTAAAACTAAATTTCATAACAATAGAATAGTAATAGTTAATACATTGAGTATTGCTATCATTAAAGTATAAGACAAATTAATTTAAGTATTTATATTTCTTTTTCAAAAAGAATGTATGCTTATCTTAAAACTTAAAATACTGTAGAGGGGCTGGGAAGGTAGCTCAGAAGCATAAGTACCTACCTGGCAAGCACAAGGACCAGAGTTTGATCCCAGGCCCTAGAAACAGGTGTGGTGGTGCATGCCTGTAATCCCCAGCACTTGGGAAGAAGAGATAGGAGGATTGCTGTAAGTTCAAGACCAGCCTAGGGGTTACAAAAGTGAGCACAAAGCTAGTCCAAACTGCGTAGGAGGCCCTGTCACAAAAAAAACAAAAAACAAACAAACAAACAAAAAATATATATATATATATAGAGAGAGAGATTTATAATATAAAAATCTAGGGAATGCCATCTTCTAGAGACAACACTGCTTAGTGTCATGTTTCCAAAGGTTTTTCTTTCAGTATTTTTCCAAATATATTAATTATTTTTATAGTAGACATATTATTTGTGCTGTCTTACAACTTGATTCTGTATGATACATGTTGTGTTTCCTGTGTTAGAGCACATAACTCTATTCCTTCCCCCTGAAAACGCCATGGGGATGAACCCAGGGCTGCAGCACTGCGCCGCATCTCAGCCTTGTCTGTGCGCCTGCCGCTCCCCTCCCTCAGTTCCCCACTGTCCCCTCCCCTCCTTTCGTCTTCCTGCTCTTTCTCTCCCCCTCTTCTTCTCCCCCTTCTCTTTGTCCCTTTCTTTCATTCTTTGTTCCAACAGGTCTCGCTAAGTCACTGAGCTATCCAGGCTGTGTGTGCTCTTGTGATCCTCCCGCGTCAGCTCCCTGGAGCTAGGCTTACAGGCAGGCACCACCATGCCCAGCTCCTTTTCCTTTAGGAGCTACGTGGGACTACATAGCGCAGTGCCTTATTTAACCAGTTACTTACTTGTATAGCTTTGCACCTTTGAACATACCACTGTAGGGTAGATTTTTAGAAAAAGGAATTTCTAGATTGGATATTGCCAGTCTTCCTAAAAAGTTTAAATCACTTTATTCTCTCAATAGCAGTTATGGGAATGCCTGTTTGTAGCTTCCCCTAAATGACTTACAGTACCAGTTTTTCCAACTTTGCCTATGCTGGTGAGCAAAACTTGTATTTATTGCTTTGATTCATCGTTAGCTAAATATTCGGGGTGGTAGAGGCCTTGCTTACTCTTCTCACTGCTGAGACGCAACTCCTGACATGTACAAGTTGAAGGAGGAAAGGCTTCCTTCAGCCCACAGTTTGTAGAGGTTCATTCCATAATCAGCGAGCTCTGAGGCAGGGTGGCTCGGCAGGGGGAGTCCAGAGGAGGAGCAGTCCACGGCATGGCAGGTACAAGGCCGTGAGACAGCAGAGCGCTTCCCCCTTCATCCCACCCAGGCTACAGCCTTCCGAATGCTTCCACCCTCTTCTGGAGTGGTCCTTCCCAGTCTCCATGCGGAACTACGCTCAACCATCAGGACTGATCTAGCACTACACCCTTAATCCTAGTATCACATCCCTAGATCTAGCCACCTCTAAAAAGCCCCACTATGAGCAAAGGAGGCTTTGGGGCACATTGAGACAGAAGCTGTAACAATGAGCAGCTTATTATGTTTCTAGGGTATTTCTATTCTCTGTGAACTGCATATCTGACTTTTATTTATTTAGGGTTTTTTTTGTTTTTTGGAGATTTTTTGCCTTTTTGAGATTGGGTCTCGCTCTGCAGCTCCAGCTAGCCTTGAGCTCACTTTGTATCCCAGGCTGGTCTTGAACTCATAGCGATCCTCCTGCCTTATCTTCCTGGGTGCTGGGATTACAAGCATGAGCCACCATGCCCAGCTAGCTGACATTTTAAGAAAAGCATCAGTAGTGCTCCCTTTGGCAGCACATATGCTAAGAAAAGCTTAAATAATCATTATAAGCCTTCCTAATAGTTGGTATATAACTATTTTGTCATAAAAATACTATCTTAAACACTGTGTGAACATGCCTTTTAACTCTGCACTCGGGTAGCAGAGGCAGGAGGATCCCCTCAAGTTTAAAGCAGCATGGGCTGCACAGTGAGTTCAAAGCCAGCCCAAAGTACGTAACAAGAGCATGTCTCCTAAAAACAAATGAAGAAAAATGAGGAAGAGAAGGAGGAGGAAGAGAAGAAGGGAAAAACTAAATGGTGTCTCTTTTGTGCATTTTCTGAAATTATTATTTTTTTCTTTTTTGGAACCTAGAGCCATGGAACTGTTAAGGGTAAAAGGTCAGAGATCCTGGTCTGTGGGACTGTCAGTAGCTGACCTGGTTGACAGTGTCATAAACAATAAAAAGAAGGTGCATTCTGTATCCACTTTGGCAAAGGTAACTGTTGTCCTTCTTTCATACTGTGAACTTTCATAATAATATAAAACTAGCAAAACTGCTGCTACACCACACCCAGATGTCTTCAGCATTTAGAGTGAGGTGAGAGGAGGCACTTCATTAATCCAGGCCTGTCCTGCTCAGCTGCAGGAAATCCGGCCTTTACCCAGCCTCAGATAGCTTTTGAAGTGTTTCGAGGAAGTGTCTCTGTACCCCATAGACTGCCTCTGGGTGTCATTTTCACCTCAGCCAGCCATGTCACATACTGATGTGCTGCCTGGTCTCAGCTGGTCCTCAGTCCATTTCAACAGTTGTCTCTTGTCCCTATACCTAGACCATAAATTCCCTAGAGCACAGCTAAGATGTACAAATGCTCATCAGAATCATTTCCTGTGTGCTTAGACTGTGGAGTGGAGGATGCAGCATGAAAGAAAACTGTCCCAGAGGCTGCTGCACTTGGCGCAGGCTGCGCACCTCCCCAAGCAGCCTGTGCAGTCTAGCATTTTTCTTGGTCCCCTACCTGCTCCCAGTGCTGAAGCAGCTGACTTAGTTCCCTACAAAGGGAGTGTCTCTAAGTTCTGTCCCTGTTTGAAAAAGTTTTGGCAATAATAACTTAAGTTTAGAAAAAGAACAGAAAGAATTAGCCTCAACTTTGTATTACTTTGTACTAGCACTAGGACAGCATTTTTATGATGTACCATCATACAATGATTCAGCTCTATTATAATCCCTATTTTTTAATTCCAGGGATACTATAATATAAATAATGAAGTGTTTTTAAGTTTGCCTTGTATCCTTGGAACCAGTGGGGTATCTGAAGTCATCGAAACTGCAGCAAAAGAAGTTACAGTGGCTGAGAAACTCCAGAACAGCGCGTCCTCTATCCACGGTCTCCAGCAGCAGTTAAAACTTTGATTTTCAAACACATTTTCCTGAAAGGAAATGCATTTAATTACACCAACATATATAGGTTTGAAAACTTCTGTGTTTTGTACTTACCTTTACAAACCTTTTGGTTAATTTTGGTTACTTGCATAATTTGAATCCTTAAGGAGTTAGATAAGGGAGGGAAAAAATCTATTTAGGGTACGTTCTTAAATCTATATTCTTTAAACTGATAGCTGGGATAAATATCCACCTGCTATATGCATCATGTAAAATTGTATGTCCTAAAGAGCATATTCAACACTTTGGAAATGTCCTGAAAAAAATATATTTATAATAAACATGATAAGCTAAAGTCCCAGGATGGGCGTTACTTAAAAATTCAGAGGATCCACAGTGTATTTATCTCTTTTGCAAAATACAGTTGGTGGAGGAGTTATGCATTTTATTTTCCTTCTCCAAATTCATTAGCTACCAAAAACTAGGAAAAAAAATTATATGTATTTAAAAATAATAAAAGCCAAAGTAAAACTTTTTAATATATAAAGAAAAAAGTACATATAGTTTAATTTCCATGGAATTTCCTTTCTGAAATATTTTTCCTTGGCATTTAATACCCCAATATATCATAAATTTACTATGATATTAGTAAAGCATAGATAAATGTATATATTATTATGAATAAAAGTCAAATAATTTATTCTGAAGCCAAAATATGAAGCTTTCATAAAAACCAGTAGTCTGGGCTGGGGAGATAACTTGGCCATCTAAGCTCCTGCCTGGCAAATGCAAGGTCCCAAGTTCAATTTCTGGTACCCCATGCCATGGGCATGCCTGGCCTGAAACTGGGCGTGGTGGCACATGCCTATAATCCCAACACTGGGGAGGCTGAGACAGGAGATCACTACAAGTCTGAACTGCATAGTGAGACTCTGTACCAAATTTAAAATAAAAACAAGGGGCTGGTGAGATGGCTCAGTGGTCTAAAGCACCTACTTAGAACAAGCTTGAGCAAAGCAAAGCACAGGGACCGAGGTTCAATCCCCCAGCACCACATGCCAGCCAGCCCCGCCCCCTGGTGGGCTGAGCTGGCCACGCACGCACGCACACACACACGCACACACATAAAAAAATAAAAATAAAAAAATAAAATAAAAACAAAAACAATGCTCTTAAGGAAGAGAGGTTGAATGGATTGATGGTTCTGAGCAGATCCTCTGATGTTGCAGAAGGAGGACTCCAAAGTCACAGGCAGGACCAGCCTGATAGCTCAGCAGACTAACATGCCTGCTTAGGCAGAGCGCAGCAGCCAGGGTTCGATCCCTGGTGTGCTGTGCCAGCCCCGCCCACAGGGCATGCTGAAACAAGTCCAATCTACTGAGTGAGACCCATAGACCCTGAACTAAAAATAAAACAAAAAATACACAGGTTACAGTGATGGGTCAGTAGCAGTATTTTCACCAGGCACTGGTGGTAAATATACCTGGATTATGTATAAGCCCTTCTGGTCCTTACAGCCTGCTATGGGAAGCACAGTAATCAAATCTCACAAATGAATGCAATAAGAATTGTGAAGAAATCCAACATATAATAGGTGAAACAATATGGTAAGGAAGCTAGGAGCCAAACAAGGGCAGACATGTCACAGGTAGAAAAGAAATAGACCTGGCAATACTTAGTGTAATAATGGATAGTTTTTTGGGGTTTTGTTTTGTTGGAGACAGACCCTCCCTCGTGCAGTTCAGGCTGGCCTTGAGCTCACTTTGTAGCCCAGGCTGGAATAATGGATAGTTGTAAGGATGAGTTTTTAAGTGGAAGGTGAAATTTAGTATTCCATGTTTAAGAAAGTATAAAAAAGCAATATGCTTGCAAAGAGTCACACAGATCGAACTGGATAAAAACCTTGGACATTGGGGTGGGCTGGAGCCCACAGGTACGTGGGCAAGGCTCTAGGTTCAGTCTGTAGCACTGACAAATGAACAAACTGTGGCTATCTGAGGACGGAAGCATTAGTTCTATGTAGAACATTTTGGTGTTACTAAAACCTCCTTTTGGGGGCCAGGGAGATGGCTCGGTGGAATAAGTGCTTCCCAGGCAAGCACAAGAGCCTGAATTCAATCCCCAGTTCCACAAAAAAATAAATAAATAAATAAGTAAAATCTCCTTTTATCCCAGTGTTACTTCCTGTTGTAGCACCTCTCTGTTACCCTGTGTGTATACTGTCCTTTTGTATGAAGTAGGAAAGTAAAACTAAAACAATAATTTTTAGCCTTTTCTAATAAGGTATAACTAGAAATGTGACAATTCCTAAAATCAAATTTCTAATACAATCCTAAACTGTAACCTAGATGTAAAATATTATAATAATTCACTACAAGAATCCACTGTATTATTAGTGTTAAGGGAAATGTCAGTTAAACAAATACCGAGTCCCTGCCACTACCCCAAATACCGTGTTGAACTGAGTGTGTTAAGAGATGAGTATTCGTCCTCCAGAAGGCCACACACGGAAGTTGATTCTCTGTATCTGGAGCTTCCGTGAGTATTAAGTACCAGCAGTTATGTTGTAAGTTCCACACAGAAGTCAAGAAGCTATGCCACTTCCTTTACAAACCACTGTGAGTTGGTGATAATTTAACACCCAAAATGCTTTTATTAACTTTAACTTTTTCATTTTTCCAAAATCATGCAGTGCCTCTTGATATGTTTTTTAGTGGACCTTGGATTAAAATGTTTTTTTGATACTGTAGTAGAAGGTATTTATTTTCCAATTTGCATTGTTTTTCTTAAACATCAAAAATAAAATAAACTTTGATTTTAAAATACCAGATGATGCCTGATTTATTAAATGTAATTTAATTCAGATTGAGTCTTTAAATACAATTTATGCAAAACCCAGGACATTTATTTCATTTTAAGTGATGTGCAAAATTAAGAGTTTGGATTTTATCACTCATTTTCAAGCTTTAAAAAATACTTTTAGCTTTTTTTTGCAGTACCGGGGATTGAACTCAGGACCTTGCGCTTCCCAGGCAAGTGCTCATTCTACTGAGCTATCTCCCCAGCCCTAGCATGAAAATTTTTTTAACAGTATTACCTGGTACAGCTCATTTATAGACGCAGCATTGCTCTACTTAAAAGTACTTCTGAGTAAGCTGTGGCTTCAGGACTGTCTTGAAGCTGGGTGTGATGGTGATATCTGTAATCCCAGCACTCAGGAGCCTGAGGTAGGAGGATGGCTGCGAATTTGAGGCCGGATTGGGCTACACAGCAAGACCCCGTCTCACTGCCCCCCCCCCAAAAGATTATTTTGAACAGTCTGCTTTTTAAAAAATATTAAAACAGCAGGTACAGTGGAAGGATAGACCCTATGAATTGACTGGAATATATGGTTATTCAAGAATAATGGCCATTGGGATAGCTTTATTTGTGTGTGAGAGCAGCAACCTATGAGCACTTCAAGCTTTCGGTTCTTTTCCTCTGGCTTCACTTAGCTTCCTGTTTGTAAAGGAAGCAAGCAAGACCATGGTATGTTCTTATTGGGCTGTACTATAATTATCCAGACTTTAACATCCGAAAACCTACTTTTCAGGATACTTTTGATACTCTGCTTGTGAAAGTGGTAACATGTAATAATGTAAGTAAGTCACCACATGAGCTTTTATTGAAAACTGAGGAGCGGGGGGAGATGGCTCAGTGGACTAAGCACTTCTCTGGCAAGCGCAGGGGTATGAGTTCAATCCTCGGTTCCGCAAAAAGAAAACTGAAATTCAAGACCGTGGACTTAACTCTCGCACACCATAGAGCACTGAAGCCTCTAGGGCTTAGCGGTGAACAGGCTAGCACACGGTACAGGGCAGGTTAGACTGCCCCCCGTGTATGATTTATGTCTGGGTACACAGACGTCCTGATTTAGGGAAAGCATCCTGGAGAGGACATTTCTGTCTGGCTTCCAGAGAAGGGATTTCTATACTTTGACCTTACAAATGCAGTATGAAGGTTTTAAAACAATACAAGACCACGTGACTACCAAAGAAACCTTGGTCATCTTCCTGATGGAAGTTTCTCTTAGAGCTGGGTAAATGTTAAGCTCGGGCTAGACGTGCACTTCGCTGCTCTTTTCACAGTGGTAAGGCGGGGGCCGGCGGTCCGCGAGGACAGGACCCTGCCACTCTCTCCAGTCCTTAGGCTCACTGCAAGCCCTTCCGTTTCTTCCCTCCCTGCACCTGCTCGCTGAGTCTTGTGACTGTGAAACGCTGCCAATCCCAGCCCAGCCCCGAGTTCCGACCTGTGGAACGGTCTTGCCCTACTTTGAGACCCAAGTGGTTCCAGCACACCGCCTCTCGGTGTAAACCCGCTTCCTCCCCAGCCTGGGTCGCTTAAGGTGTTCACCTGTCTACCCAGTCCAGGGCCTCGGAAATGACGTAGCGGAAGCGGAAGTGCAGTGGTGGCGTCGACTTCCTGCTAGAGGCGGGGGTGGGGTGGGGGGCTGGCCACTTGGTGTGCGATTGTCTGGGGCGGCCTGGGGCGGCCCCCGAGCGGCTGACCCTCTGCCAGCGAGGACGGGAGTCGCCAGGCGGCCGTCATGGCGGTGTCGGAGAGCCAGCTCAAGAAGATGGTGTCTAAGGTGAGGCTGCGACGCCCGCGTCCCGCGCTGGCCCACCGCTCCCTCCCGCGCCTGGCCCGGACCGGACCAGCCCTGCGAGCTTCCCGGGCGGGCCGGAACTTCAGCACCTTGCCGGCCACCGCCGCCGAGGTTGCCGGCCCGAGCCTGTAGCCTTCGCACCCCGATACCCTGCGGGGAAAGTCGGGGGGCGGCGGCCGTCCACAAAGGCGCGGAGCGGAGGCCGCCTGCCACCTGCCGCCCGCGCCCGTGTCGCTGCGGGCGCCTTCGGAGCCGTGTGGGGCGGTGGAGTGTAGGTTTTCAGTGTGCTAAACAAAAAGAGGGAGTCGCACTTAGTTGTGGACCTGAGTCTGGGCTTCCGCCAGCCGTCGCCCGCCCCTCGCTGGCCGCAGAGCCCGCGCGGCCCTTTCAGCTTTGTATTCCCAGCCGCGCAGCCGGCCCGGGGAGGCCCGTGCCTGGCGGGGGAACTGACTCGTTCGGTGAAACGACCAGAGAATCCAAAATGCCAGCCCCTCGCCACGCCGACTAGAACCAGTGCAAGTCCCTACGACCATCCCAGGGTCACGGTAACTCTTTACTACTATTAGTTGTACGC